TACCAAGTCACCCCGCTAGTGGCGAAAAAAGGTACAACACCTCCCACTGCTTGTACAGCAAATCAGAATCTAGAGCCGATAAAATCCTTCATCCTACATTCTGTACTGGGGAAAGACCATCTGAAGTACCGGATGTGTGGTCACATCACTGACCTCATCCCCTCACAGAACGGTAAGTGCAGAATATTCAATTAACATACACCCTTCCTCTCGCTGTGAGGCTCGTCTGTCTAGCTCAGTTCAGCGCTCAGGAGAGCCAGCCGCCCGCGGGCTCGGGTTCAGAGAGGCTCGGCTTGACCCCGCTGCCCTGGCAGACTGTGCTGAAGGACTGGGAGAGACGGGGGCTTGAGAATAACACAGGAAACTCAGACGGCAAGTTCGAGCTGCTCAGGGTTTATTACACAAGGTGAGGCAGAGTGAAGCACAGTGTGGTGCTAATACTGAAACAGCGGGCATTACCGCTCGCAGAAACTTCATTTTCATAAAGCAATGCTGCAGCAGTAAGCCGTAGCCTGTGGGAGGTGTCTTACTGGATCAATAACAGCAGTGTGGTGTATGTGTTACTGGATCAATAACCAATAGTCTGTGAGAGGTGTCTTACTGGATCAATAAGCAGTAGCCTGTGGGCTGTGTATCACTGGATTGATGAGCAGCAGCTCAGACAGTGGGGTGAGTATCACTGGATCGATGAGCAGCAGCTCTGACAGAGGGCTGTGTATCACTGGATCGATGAGCAGTAGCTCAGACAGTGGGCTGTGTATCACTGGATCGATGAGCAGCAGCTCTGACAGTGGGCTGTGTATCACTGGATCGATGAGCAGCAGCTCAGACAGTGGGCTGTGTATCACTGGATCGATGAGCAGCAGCTCAGACAGTGGGGTGAGTATCACTGGATCGATGAGCAGCAGCTCAGACAGTGGGGTGAGTATCACTGGATCGATGAGCAGCAGCTCAGACAGAGGGCTGTGTATCACTGGATCGATGAGCAGTAGCTCAGACA